ATAACGAGAGAAAAAAAAATGCTTGTGATACCCTTTCGAACGCAATAAATATTTCGTCACAAACATTTCTTCTCACGCAACACACACACACACAAATCATACGGAAATAACAAATAAACAAAATATATAAAGGATGAAACAGAAAACTCAGAATAAACGATATATAATACGAATAAGAATAAAAATATTAACGATAATACAAATAAACAAAATATATAAAGGATGAAACAGAAAACTCAGAATAAACGATATATAATACGAATAAGAATAAAAATATTAACGATAATACAAGTAAAACAAAACGAAACACTAAAAACAACAATAACGAAAGACAAAAAATGCTTGTGATACCCTTTCGAACGCAATAAATATTTCGTCACAAACATTTCTTCTCACGCACACACACACACACAAATCATACGGAAATAACAAATAAACAAAATATATAAAGGATGAAACAGAAAACTCAGAATAAATGATATATAATACGAATAAGAATAAAAATATTAACGATAATACAAATATAACAAAACAAAACACTAAAAACAACAATAACGAAAGACAAAAAATGCTTGTGATACCCTTTCGAACGCAATAAATATTTCGTCACAAACATTTCTTCTCACGCAACACACACACACACCCTCACCCTATTAATCTTGCCTCCAAGGGAGAAAAAAACATCAATAACTCCAAAACAGGGACAGAATAATCTCCTTTTCACATAAAAAGGAGAGTTATTTGCTGTGAAGGAAAACCGCAGGCATTGGATGGCACTTTTTTCTCTCAAGGCGTATAGTGTGTGTGTGTGTGTGTGTGTGTGTGTGTGTGTGTGTGTGTGTGTGTGTGTGTGTGTGTGTGTGTGTGTGTGTGTGTGTGTGTGTGTGTGTGTGTGTGTGTGTGTGTGTGTGGAACGAGGCAAATGTGGCGGATAGATGGATAATGGCTGTGAATGCTATTTTGTGTTTTTTTTTCCTTTTTTTTCTTTCATTGCTTTTCTTTGTGTTAGGTTCTCTGTCTATGGTTCTGTCTCGGTTTTTTATCTGTCTCTGTCTCTGTCTGTCTGTCTATCTGTTTGTGTGTCTGTCTGTCTGTCTGTCTGTCTGCTTGCCTGCCTGTCTGTCTATCCGTCTATTTATCCGTTTATCTGTCTCTCTCTCTGTCTGCCTGTCTGTCTCTCACTTTTATTCGAAATTCAAAAACAATAAATAGAAATCCTCCTCTCAAAAAAAGGGAGAAATAAGACATTTGTTTATAATCACTTTTCTTCCGCCAACTGCCTGTTTTTACCGTAAAATAAACAAAAGCGGTTTCGTCGGTTTCCAAAAGGACAGCTGAATGAAGGGGAATAGGGAAGAGAGAAGAGGGAGAAGAGAAGGGGAAAGATAGGAGAGTGATGAAGGGGGGGAAGGGAGGAGGGGAAGGATAGAGGGAAGAAGGAATGGGAAATTAGGAAAGGAAAGGAAGAAGGAGAATGATGAAGGAGGAAAAGGGAGGTGGGGAAGGATAGAGGGAAAAAAGAGAGGAGAAGGATGAAGTGGGGAATAAGGAAGGGAAAGAGAGGAGGAGAATGATGAAGGGAAAGGCAGGAGGGGAAGGATAGAGGGGAAAGAGAGGAAAATGATAAAGTTGGGAAATGGAGGAGGGGAAGGGTAGAAGGAAAATGGGAGGAGAGG